GAGTGGTTTTATTTTAGATAATTCCACCCGTTCTGATTTAAGACTGAGACCATAAGGCCAAACCAGTTTGAGGATCAATAAAGTAACTATCTATCTGTCTAAAAGCTCCAGTCTCAGTCCTGTAATAGTATGAAACTCAGAGCAGTTTTATGTCTGGTGTGTGTCCAGTGTGTGTCCAGTATGTGTCTGGTGTGTGTCTGGTGTGTGTCCGGTGTGTGCCCAGTGTGTGTTCAGCGTGTGTCCAGTGTGTGTCCAGTATGTGTCTGGTGTGTGTCCAGTGTGTATCCAGTGTGTGTGTGTAGTTATCTGCAGTTCATCCAGAGTGATCATGGGCCTCTTGGCTGCATCTCTGATCAGTCTTCTCCTTGTTTGAGATGAAAGTTTGGAGGGACGGCCGGGTCTTGGTAGATTTGCAGTGGTCTGATACTCCTTCCATTTCAATATAATTGCTTGCACAGTGCTCCTTGAGATGTTTAAAGCTTGGGAAATATTTTTGTATCCAAATCCGGCTTAAACTTCTCCACAACAGTATCTCGGACCTGCCTGGTGTGTTCCTTTGTCTTCATGGTTCTCTCTGCGCTTTAAACAGAACCCTGAGACTATCAAAGAGCAGGTGCATTTATACAGAGACTTGATTACACACAGGTGCATTCTATTTATCATCATCAGTCATTTAGGACAACATTGGATCATTCAAAGATCCTCACTGAACTTCTGGAGTGAGTTTGCTGCACTGAAAGTAAAGGGGCCGAATAATATTGCACGCCCCACTTTTCAGTTTTTTATTTGTTAAAAAAGTTTAAATTATCCAATACATTTCGTTCCACTTCACGATTGTGTCCCACTTGTTGTTGATTCATTCATCTTTATGTTTGAAGACTGAAATGTGGCGAAATGTTGAAAGGTTCAAGGGGGCCGAATACTTTCGCAAGGCACTGTAAAACCATACTATACTAGTCCATACACACAGCTGCTTGTTGCTTTCTTTATGACATGGCTGGGCACCGTCCAGGTCATTCTTCACCACAGCACCCTGCAGGTCCACGCAGTCGCACAACTCTCACCGCTCACCCGCTGATAACGCACAGAAACCCTGGCTCCCGCAGGCGATAAACCAAGCGAAACACGGTGTACGTTGCGCTCTTACAATGCTCTCCACCGCGCGGACATAAATCTACCAGCACTGGCCCAAGACAATGATTTACAGCCACTGGACCTTATTCATTTAGCCTTAACAACACAGTGGAGCATGCTCACGGGGGCCGCACCAGGCTGAGGTAAGTGTGAGGGCCAAATACAGCCTGCTGAAATCTCTGCGGCACACTTTTACCTTTACTGGGAGCAGAGTGGAGTTTGCATGTTCTCCCCGTGTCTGCAAAGTTGTAGAAATAAAGACAGAGGCAGCAGCAATTGCATCTCTAACCCGATTTCTTTTTGAGTCCTTCCAGATGGAACGAAAGGAGACAAGGCTTTTTATTATGATTTGTATCAATGTGTAGTCATCACTTAAGATAATACGGACCAACGTTGTGTGCCATTGACGCATTAATACGTCAAATGCCTTTTCCGCTATTTTCACGTTCCCAGATGTCTATTGTATCTAATATGTATGGGGATGACTTGAGACCATATTTTATCTAGCCAACAGGTGGCAGCATTGCTCTCTGAATGGTTTGAAAACAGCTAGATGCACTTGTGCCTCTTTTTTCTCAACTTTCTGGTGATTTCAGTAAAACTTCCCTCTACTCGACGGAGGATTACAGGGGAACAAAAAAAGCTATAAACAAAATTCTTTTTGCTGAGGAAAGTACACAGTCCAGTCTTTTAGAATCTGGTGTCGGATTTCAGATAGTCATAGTACACAATATTCTGTGGGTCTTTAAAAATCAGTAAAAACCATCAGAAACGGCTGGCAATATGGGAGTACCTGTTCTGAAATGGGCTGGCAGTCAATGAGTTAAGATATAAATACTTGAAACAATGTCTGTCAGAAAAGATACATTCAGTTCTTCAGGTCATAATGTTTAGAATTAATTAACATGGGTCCACAGTACAAAATAGGGAGGTCATATTTCAGATTCCTCCGAGTGCTGCGGTTTCCTCCATCACTTAAAAAACAAGTACAAAAGGTAAAAATCCTCCAGCTCTGGTCCTGACCAAGAGCATCAACATCTTGAAATAGGTCCCTGCTCCTGATGCCCTGGTGGCATTCAGGATGGGTCAATGCAGAGGACACATTCCCCCACATACACAATGTATGAAGTATATGTGTATGAGTCTACTATAGTTTAAAAAGGAAGAGAGAAAATGAGCAAAGCTTACTACCTGATCACACAGGGAGAACATGCAAACTCCCAACAGAGAGTGACTGATGGAATGACTACTGCTGATATACAGTATTATTTTGTATTTTATTTTATTTAGACTCTTTAATAATTTCCTCGACCATTTGATGAATCACTTTCTGAGTCACTAAACCTATTGAAAGCATGGAACTTAAATCTACGACTTTGAAGCATTTATATCACTTGGTTTTAAGGACTTTTACCCTCAAACTGCATCTCAACCATTTGGTAAAGGCCTGCAGTAATACAAAAATTAACTAGGGGTTTAAAAAAAAAAAAAACATAAATTGTGTACTCCTGCATGTTATGTTCGACAATCAATCCACACATTTTGCCATAGTTCATCAAGTCCTTCAAATTAAACAATACAAATTAGGGCTGCACAATATGTCGGAAAAATATTGATATCCCAATATATATATTTTCTTTATTAAAGACAACAAGACAGACAGACACATCAACATTCAACAAAAACAACAAACAAACAAATAAAAGAATATAAATATATGCATTTGAATGTCAGTAATGTTTTATTTGTCTTTTGCGTTTCAATGCAGAGTGCATTTTTAGGTGAAAGAAAAAAATATTGCAATAATATTGTTATCTCAATACTAAACACTCATAGCGAATATCGCTCTAATTTCCAATAGTGTGCAGCCCTAATACAAATCCAAAAGAAAATTCATCCACTGCTGCTAGCACTGCTGCTAACATTCTGTTCTTCCCGCCACTTACTTTTTGAAGTGGACCTAAAGCTGGAGTGTCCAATTTTTTTGTCCTTTAAAAACGATCCTTGTTGTTTGTCAGAGAGAGAATTGTAGAATTAAAAGCAAAAAAGTGAACAAATAACAACAAAAGGCCAATAACATCCTGTCTAAAACGTAGAACTTAGAAATCATTTTATCTTTTGCACACGTAAGAAAGAGCGCCTTGGACTAAAATATTTACTATCTATGACATAATTATATTTTTTGTGGTTTGAAAGCGTGGGCAGCAGGGGGGCTGAGGGGGACCAAGAATGTCCTGGGTTTGAATTGCGATCGGAAATAAAGCCTTTCTGAGTATAGGGTTTGCATGTTCTCCCCGTGTGCTCCGAGGGAAAGCCTGAAAGCATGTATAATCTCATTCAGTCGCACGTACAATTCACAGAGATTTTGCAGAGATTCTGACATCTCCGTGGGACTTTAAATGAAGGTCAATAAGTTGATTTAAACTCAAAAATAAAAGTGAAATGAAGACTTTGATTTACAGTCCGTTTACAGCTGCAAAAACCCACCAAAATAACAATCTTAGGCAAATTCAACACTCGCAACATGAATTAAAGCAAGTTCCCAAACATTTTCTCATTGCACAATTTGCCTCAGCATTCTGCAGACACCTTGGCAACGCTTTTCACCAATTTATCTATTTTTCTCTTTTTTGGCAACAAGTACTTTTGAAGAAATCTGTGTGGACTAAAGTGGTAGTAAACTAGAAAATTATCTGCAAACAGAAGGGTGAAAATGCATTTTGGAGCAATTTTCTTTCCTTATGCGCGTGTGGCTGTTAGTGATAGCCACACACAGTTATCAGTGGGAGATACTTCAGACAGACTGTTCAAACATGGACTTAAAACACGCTATCTCCCGAAAGGTTAATGAGCAACTGTGACTGGATGTGACGGCTGCAAACACACAGCGGTGATGCCATCCTCGTTCCCCGCGACTACAGACGGAGAAGACTTAATTACTTTAGTGTTTGATGGGGTTTGAGCGCAAAGGAAAAAGTCCAGATGAAATCACATGTGTTTGGCTGGACACGGCGGTTTGGGATGCTCCACCAGACTTTGAATCTGCTCTAAATTATTCCAACGCAGTAGTTGTCTGCAGTAGATGAAGAAGACATGGCTGCTACGTATGAGATTATCCATGACACCCACGGATCGTTGATATATATTTATATATAATCTCAATTTGAGACCCAAATGAGGTCAGGTCGAAGGCCCACAGGCTCCAGATCAAGTTAGCAATCTGCAGATATTTTTTTTTATGCAACAGGTAATCACATTGAGTCTGAAAAGAAAATCAGCAGGTGGTGGGAGCGGTCACAGAGGAAGCGATAATATACAGGTGAAATTATTATGAAAGTCTAGTTATTTCTGTAAATCAATTTAAAATGTGAAACGGATATATGATATAGACTCATTATATGTGGAGTGACATTAGCCTTTGTTGAGTAAGGCTTAGAGTTCATTTTTTTGTTTTATTCAGGGCTTGATACAAGTAAATAGACTTAAAAACTAACTTAAACAAACATGAATAATTCTATAAATAACAGACTGTATATAGAGTCATCATGTCAACTTTTTCCATTTGTCATTTTAAGGTTAAGATGAAGAGACCTTTTATTCGTCCCACAGTGGGGAAATGTCAGTGTTGCATCACCAGTTACAGCGAACAGCAGATAAATTAAGAAAAAACCTCTAAGGCATACTTTAGTATGATAAGAAGTAAGAATCACATCTAAGTATGTATTGTGTTGCAGTGCATACAGAAATGACAACGGTTATGAAGCAGAAAATATCGGTCCAACCCTCCCTCCCATGGGTCCAACCCTCCCATGGGTCAACCCTCCCATGGGTCAACCCTCCCATGGGTCCAACCCTCCCACCCGCCCATGGGTCCAACCCTCCCATGGGTCAACCCTCCCATGGGCCCAACCCTCCCATGGGTCCAACCCTCCCATGGGTCAACCCTCCCATGGGCCCAACCCTCCCATGGGTCCACCCCCTCCCATGGGTCCACCCCTCCCATGGGTTCCAACCCCTCCCATGGGTCCACCCTCCATTGGTCCAACCCTCCCATGGATCGCCACCCCTCCCATGAGTCCACCCCTCCCATGGGTCCAACCCTCCCATGGGGTCCAACCCTCCCATGGGTCACAACTCACACCCCTCCCATGGGTCAACCCTCCCATGGGTCAACCCTCCCATGGGTCAACCCCTCCCATGGGCCCAACCCTCCCATGGGTCCAACCCTCCCATGGGTCAAACCCTCCCATGGGCCTACCCTCCCATGGGTCCACCCCTCCCATGGGTCCACCCCTCCATGGGTCAACCCTCCCATTGGGCCCAACCCTCCCATGGGTCCAACCCTCCCATGGGTCAACCCTCCCATGGGTCCACCCCTCCCATGGGTCCAACCCTCCCATGGGTCCAACCCTCCCATGGGTCAACCCTCCCATGGGTCCACCCCTCCCATGAGTCCACCCCTCCCATGGGTCCAACCCTCCCATGGGTCCACCCCTCCCATGGGTCCACCCCTCCCATGGGTCAACCCTCCCATGGGTCCACCCCTCCAACACAAATACACACGCACACAACCACATCCTCAAAACTCTTCTAACCCCCCTTCCCCCATTGTCCAGGTATCAATGACATTTCATATCAATTTCCCCACTGTGGGACAAATAAAGGATCTCTTAATCTAGTCCTAATATTTTAGGCCTTCTGCACAATTAAATATTCCTCCCTCTGCAGCCGGTGATCCAGGACCCCTCAGATCACCTCAGGACTCAGGCTTCTTTCCTCACTGACGTCAGAATTCAATTTCAATCAGTGTCCACAGAATCTGCAAACACCCGACAGCTGAGCCTGCCTTAATTGCGAAACAGCCTCAGCAGGCGGTTTGGGGAGCGCAGCATCGGCTAACGAGGTTAAAAGGTGCAAAAGAAGCGCGTTGATGGCGAGGTAGGATTCGGCGAGCAATTGTTTAACGCGTGTCGGGGTTTCGGCCTCTTCACTCTCTCTGTTTGAGCAAACTGTGGAATTCGCCAGCAGCACCTTGTTAGAAGTCATGTCATTTAGCTTAATGTGGAGAGCGCCGAGCAGCCAGATGTGCCACTGTAGCGGAGAGAGGGAGGGGAGGAAGAGAGGGAGGGGAGGGGAGGGAGAAGGAGAGGAAGAGAGGGAGGGGAGGGAGAAGGAGAGGAAGGGGAGGGAGGGGGGGGACGAGAGGGGAGGGGAGAGAGGGAGGTGAGAGAGTGAGAGGGAAAGAGGGAGGGGAGGGAGGGAGGAAGGATTGTGAGGAGAGGAGGAGGAAGGAGGGTGAGGGAGGGAGGCGAGAGAAGGGAGGAAGAGAGGGAAGGGAGGGAGAAGGGAGGGAGAGAGGGAGGGAGGGAGGAGTGAGGGAGGGGAGGAAGAGGAGGGAGGGGAGGGAGAGATGGCCAGGGGATGAGAGGGAGGAGAAGGAGAGGCAGAGAGGGAATGAAGGAAAGCGGGAGGGGGAAATAGGGAGGCGGTGAGGTATAGGGAGAGGGCGGGGAGGGCGAGCGGAGGGGAGGGAGAGAGGAGGGAGGGATAGTGAGGGAGGGGAGGTGAAGGAGGGATGGGAGGAAAGAGAGGGAAGGCGGAGGGGTGGGAGAGAGAGGAGGGGAGGGGAGAGGAGAGGGGAAAAAGTGGCTGTCACCTATGTATTTAGGATTCATTAAAACATTCTAAGTTTGAAAGAAGATTTGGATTTGTCATGAAATTACAACCTTCTTGTTTTTCTCCTTATGAATCATACATCTTGTTTGTCCCAATAGAAAAAGTCTTCACAACATGATATATTTTGCATAATGGTAAGAAAGTCACTATTTGACACTAATATTACTGCATTACTGCACTATACTTCTGCCATTCACCAGTCACTTTACCTGTTTTTATTATTACTGATTTTTTTTGCTCACATTCTCCGCTGATAAAGCACAATATACACATCTGGAAATACTTCTGAACCAAGTGCAATTATAGCTCCAAAGTTTATTCTATTTTATCATCTTATTATCTTAGTTAAATATGAGTGCTCTTATTTCCTTCTTTCTCTGCTGTAATGTGCGCAACGATGACACTGAAATTTCTCTGCTGTGAGAATAATAAAGGAATATCATTTCTCATTCTATCTTTGGGCTGTGATTTGATTGGCTGAGTGAGGGTGGACCTCTCTTTTGAACTTTTCTTAAAAAATCTGACCAAAATTGCATGTATCTGAAAACTAGTGACAGAACGAAACAGTTGTATGGGCGAGAGACTAGGAATTCCATAGTAGTTGTGGTGGTTTGCAAGTTAGGTACCCCAGCTTTAAGGTCCACGCTTGCTAAAATGTAAATACTGAACCCAAAATGGTGAAATGCAATGACACAGGAGTCCAAGATTATGTATTTCATTGTTATTTTTCTGGCTTTGCTCAGATGATCGCTGTGTAAATATGCTGTTGCTGTTTATAACTTGAGCGTAAAGTCAAACACGTGTCACTGTAAAACCTCTCCATGGCTCGAAGCACGGCCGTGTCTCTTTTCTCTGACGCTGAGCTGTTATCCAGGGAACAATCGCTGAGTCCTACAAACGCTGCCTCTTTTGTTTTACAGTGTGTCTGCCGCGGGCGCTGAATTAAAGCAGGACAATCAAACACACATTATGCTAAGAGAGAGAGAGAGAGACTGAGTAAAGGCTGAGAGCATTCAAAGGTTTACTGCTATTCCAGAGTAGATTAGATTTAATATGCTACAAGACATGTATTTGACCCACTGTATTAGGGCTGTATAAGCACTCTTAAACTAGATATTAAGCTAGTTTAAAGATGCTATACCCGATTTTTTTTAATGAGTTAATAATTTTTTTTATTACTACATATTATAATCCGTAATTTAATTGAAAACTTGAGCTCATTGATTCAGCTGTGTATGAATTCAGGCCGTATAAAAAGTGAGTAGAGACTTAGCGTGACGCCCGCTCTCCTCCAATCACAGAACGAGGCTGCGTCCTCTATAGCCTCTACAGCGCTGCTAAACACAGTAGCATGTTAGCATAAGTGGCTATAACTCCTCTGGCTGTAACTGCAGACACAGCAAAACAGCCCAAATGACGCAACAGTGAGGAAGAGAAGACTTAAGAGAAAAAATGATCAAAGAAGAAATCAAGCCCGGGTGAACATAGCTAGCTTACATCGTATCCTCTGGAGAGACTTGTCTATGGGAGAGACCTGCGGGACTGCCTCGGACTATCTATGCTTGGATTACATTCGGACACAAAACTAGCGGTAATCTTTCAGTTATATATTTTGTTAGCAGTGCGTTGCTTTTGTACCATTTCATCTGTGATTGTTGTACAGCTTAAGTTGGGTTAATGCTAATGTTTGCATATAGATCGCAAATAAAACTAGATGGCTCCGTGGGATGAGAGCGTAGGGGAAATGAGAATCCTGTGAGCGAGTTTAGGGGCGGGGCTAAACATTCCAACCTTGCAGAAACGGACATACTGTAGCTCCTTTAAGAGGACTCATCTGGTCTTAGTAGATCAAGCTGTTTGGTTCTTCTATACCAGACAATAGTAAGATAGTGATGTTATTACCTTGACATGTTTTGTGACAATTGTTCTAATGATCCATGGAAACTAATTTGTATTTTGTTTGTGGTTAAATTCAAGTAAACAGTACATGCTAAAAACAGTCCTTTATAATGGAGAAATGCACAATAGTTCACTTTTGAATGCGCTGGAAAATGTTGTTCTGTGCTTTACGATTTTTATTTGTATTGCCTTTTTCTACCTGGGATGTTGCTGCAGTACAGTGTTCATGGTTTTACACTGGTCTAGACCGGAGCGGAGAGGATATATGGCCTGAACCAAGCGGATCAGGTAAAAGTCCACTGGAGGAATGCTAACTTTTTGAAAAATTGCTGATGAAGCATATTCTTTGGACCAGAGCAGAGAAAATGGTCCAAACCAAGCGGCTACTCCACATCTGCTGCTGTGACCTGAAGGGCTGTTGCTGATTATTACTATTGTTTGCTTTTTTTTTTAGAATGATCAATTTTATTTTTAAGTTTTGTTGCTACTGGGCACCTGAATTTCTCCTGTGGGGGATCTATCTACTGTATCTATCTATCTATCTATCTATCTAGTCAATAGGGGGTGTTAAGGGGGGTTGAAGAACACTTTCCCCACCCAAGATAACTTTGTCCACATGATCAGGGAAGCAGTCACATCCAAAGAGACCATCATTCACAGTCTCAGAAGGGAAACAGACTCTCGTCCCAACAAACATCCCAAATACGTTTGTGTCATAAAAAGAGAAACCCCGTCAAAACCAATTTCATAGACATTAAAATCACTCCACTTTGCTCAAACTATGCTTCAGTCATGTCTGCCTCCATGTCTGTGAAGTATAAATAAATATGGCAAATACCACTATAATGGACAAGGTTGAGAAACACTGAAAAAATGTGTTCTCAGTCTTTAATTATGAGTATTTCAAAATATAAAAATAAAAAAGTCAAAAGATGAGTGGGTCATTATGGGAAATATGGGGGGGAATTGATTATTTTTCCCAGATCACCCAGTCCCAGGGTTAAGGTATACCCAGGCAAGCTTTAATTGACTCATCTCCAGTTGTTGTTGCTCGGCCTGGTCAGACCTACCCGGAGCTACCGGAGGAAACCCACCCAGACACATGAGAGAGACATGCAATCTCCACACCAGAAAGGCCCAGGCCAGCACGAGATCAAACCCGTAACCTTCTTGCTGTGGAACGTGAATGCTGCCTAAAAAAAAGCCCTCGGATCCTCTTGCTCGTCTCATTACGAGTCCGTCGGTCTCTCCCCGACTCAGTGCAGCCCTAATGAAGTCAAGCAAGGTCTAGTGGTGGCGTTTTAAATTTAACTCGCTCGTACAAAGCCCTAGCCGCGCGCTAACAACACTAAATGAATCGTCCACTTAGGATTAATGGCTTCTTGAGCGCAGACAAATTTGATTGTGTTAACGGCTAACGAGCAATCCGCTGTGAAAACCAGTCCCATTTATCCGGGACAGAACACCTGCTTTTACCCTTACCACCGCTCGCACTTGTTTCTATTAGCCAGTCGCACCATTTCCCATGACAATATTATCTCATACTCTCAGACAAATCACCCTTTTTGTTTTAAGGACGTGAGTGTTTTCAGAGGGGAAAATCACAGTGGTTAAGTCTCTTGTTTGAATAGGTAAAAAGCTGCAGCACTCAAAGCCAATGCAAAAGGGCCACTTAAAGAGATTTTTTTTTCCCCCCGTTACAGTGAGTGCGCTCGCCGCTCTAAGAACCAAGGTGACTCCGTCCTCTCCCGCGCCCCACATCCTCACGCCAAAGCTAATTGTGTCATTTGTATCAGAATTAGTCGCTAATGACAGCTGCAGGTCTCTCGTGCTGGATTTTTGTCTTTCAGATTTTCTCACTGTGCTCTGCGTATGTGGCGTCTTCAAACAATAACAAAGCAAAAAAACAAAAAAACGGGATCAAAACCAGTTCTGTCAAAGTTCTGTCTCTCCTGTTTAAGTTGCCAGGGTCAGGAAGAAAAGTCTGTTCCATACAATTCTAATGTAAAGATGTAGCTGCAGTACTGTATTCAAGGTTTTGAACTTGTCCAGACCGGATCGGAGAGAATTCGTGGTCTGAACAAAGCGGATCAGCCAAAATTATGACTTTTTGAAGAATGCAAATGAAGCATTCAGCATCTTACTTTGGACCATTGCAGAGAAAATGGGCCGAACCAAGCAGCTACTCCACCTCTGCTGCTGTGACCTGAAGGGCTGTTGCGTTTCATTACTATTGTTAGCGTTTTAGAATGATCTATTTAATTGTTCTGTTTGTG